TGGACAAAAATGTTTGTTGGCATGCATTTTCCAATTTTGTTTGTTTGTTTTCTGTCATGTAAAGTGAAGTAGGTTTAATTTCTTCTGCTATTTAACATTTTAAGAACAAAACCTTTTTCTTCAGGAGAGCAACCCAGTTAGCTAAAACCTGCTTGCAGAATCAGCTGTGGGTCTTGATTCAGTGGGGAATAAACTCAGGGGTGACACATGGTGCCCTACATAGATGGTCACAATTGATATTATTTTGGGGAAAGATCTAAAACAAAGCTGCTTCATTTTATCTAATAGTCTGTATTCAACTGTATTGTAAGTCAGTATTCCTCAAAGGAAATGGTTACTAAATGGATCTACCTACACCTAAAGAGCTAAGCAAGGAAAATTATTAGGCCAACATTAAATATTAACACACAATCATTAGTTACTAGGACAGAGACAGAGCATAAGGCTGATTTGGCCTGCCAAATGACTATGTTAAAAATTAAAGCAACACCCGAGGTCTAAATATATACTGTATACTGCACTTATTATTATCATCATAATCAGGTTCAGGTTGTGCACAAAGTCCTGTTTATTTTATAGGTCTGCATTTATAATGTATGACTTTCAGAGTATTTCAACAATCTAAAAAATGAACCGAAATGTACTGTAGCTGCTTTCCCTGGAGGAGATATTTGCAAAACTGACTTGTATTAGATGGAGGCTACAGGACGGGAAGGTTGTGCGCTTCTCAAATTCAGAATTAAATTGAGAATGACTTTTACATTACAGTTTAATCTCTGAATTCTAAAATTAATTTTCAAATTTAAATTTTCACTAAATCCAAAACATTGTCAAGACGAACTTTAAATTGTAGCTTGACAAGTTTAAAAAGCCCCGAAATGTATAGGTTCATCTGCCATACAGAAAGGGACAAGGATAGGATGAAAGATACTAAAGAAATGTATTTTATACACTATCGGTCAAAGGTTTAGGGTCAGTAAGATTTTTTTATTTTTTAAAAATACTTTTATTCAGCAAGTATACATTGATTTAAAGTGACAGTAAAGACATTTGTAGTGTTACAAAATATTTCTATTTGAATTAAATGCTGTTCTTTTGAACTTTCTGTAACACTTTATTTTGACAGTCCACTTTAGACATTCAACTACCTAATAACTTTACAACTACATGTCAACTAGCAGTCATTACAGAATACTGTCTGCTTAATATCTACTAACACTTTATTTTGATGGTCGCTCAACAGACATTCTACTGACTTTAAGTAACTTTGCAAGTACAGCAACTTATTCTACTAATCCTAACCGTACAGTCTACAAATGCTCTAATGAGAGTTAGTTGACATGTAGCTGCAAAGCCACTTACAGTTAGTAGAATTTCTAAAGTGGACTATCGAAATAAAGTGTAACCGAACTTTCTACTCAAAAGAATCTGGAAAAAATTTGATTCAATCCTAAACTTTTGAACCCTAGTGTATATTTCACCATAATTAACAAAATGAACTTTTATGGACCAGGGTGGAAGAATATAGAAGACTGTGTCCATTAATAAATGATTCTTTCATTTGACACTGATGCATTTATTTTAACATATGTATTTATTTATTTTAATGAAATATTTATTTATTAATGTTATTTATTTGCCACTCAAAACCTTCCTTAAAAGAAAATTAATTTCAGCTCCCTCTGGCGTGTGTCCAATTCAATCCAAATTCCAACTGATTTTAAATACAGCCAATTTATCAATTTCGCTCAGCCCTGCAGGATAGTGTGAGGTTAGGGATCTAATGGTAATCATCCATCTAAAAACATCTTGCAGGGAAGGGACGGAGCATTAAGAAAAAAACAAAGCACTCACTCAAATTTTACCCCCATGATCTCTACCTCCCCCAACAGTTGTACCATTTCCAAGTGGCAATAAAACCCACCAGCATCACTCAATGTAATCCCAACAGAGGGATCCATAACAGCCCCACACACCCTGATGTCAGTAAATGTACAACAGTGCTCTCTTTGGCATCGCTTGCCAGGTTGTATGAGGTCATTTAGTGCAAGTTGAATAGACAAACCTCACTCACAGGGCATGTTACCCTTTTTTATTTCTTTTCCGCATCCAAAAAAAATGCCATTCCTCTTCTTTCTTTTTTTTCTGTTTGTGCTTCCCTTGCTCTTTTTCTCTTTTGCTGACTTACTCTCATTCATCTTCTGCCTTTTAAAGAGCGCATCCTCTTCAGTTTCAGAGTTGGACTAACTCGGGCGACTCCCATGGCTGTGAATAGATAGTGTTGTGTTGCTAGGCGACGACTGAGATCAGTTAATCTGTGGATAGTGTGTACAGCGTTTGCCCTACCTGCCCGCTCTGTAGCTCACATCCTAGGGTATGAACCATGAACTTCTGATGACCCCATATATGCATATGCATCATGCTGTTTTCTCCCTGCACAGAGATAGACACCCTGATAATTAGGAATGCGTCATAGCCGTACCATTTTGGCTACTACACTGCAAACAAATATTTTCTTAGTATTTTTGTCTTGTTTTCCAGTACAAATATCTAGACATTAAATGAGACCTTTTTATAAAGTGTTACTGATTTATATTAACAGCAATTTCTAGAATATCAGCCATAACATAAAAATAATTTGTGGCTTATCCAAAATGTAGATTTTGGCAAAAAAAATTCAATATTGTTCATAAACTCTTCACATACAGTAGTGCAAGCAGTGATTCTTGATGCTGTTCTCAATGTCAATGTTCTGTATTGGTTGCGTTTGTGTTGGATGTTGCTTCTAACTAATACCACCTAATCTAACTAAAACCCTGTAATCCACTTAAAATGAGGTTATGAGTGTGCTGCTGGATCCGTGAGGATGCTATTATGAGAATGAGTTTCTGTCTTCATGTACTGCTGTGATCTGTGCGTCTATACATTGAGGAAACAAAAACACATCAGAAGGAGACTGCAAAACACTTCACAAACAATCAATCAATCAATAAATGGTGCGTTTGATAGATACAATTAGATATAATTTAATTGAAATTTATATCTGCTGTCTGGTCTTATAAATATCATCTACTGTATCTCTTAGTCTTTAAAGTATAATGTGTAATTTGTAATATGTCCTACAGATGCATTAAGTGGTCACTCCATATTTCCTGCTTTGGTTCACAATGAACACATCACCTCACATATTCAAAGTGCTAACACACGCACACACAAACACAAATACACACAATCACACAGTTCTTCAAATACACCCTATAGTGTAAATCCTCATATTTGCTGAGATCAGAGTTAGCTGCTTATTTGCTCAGTAAATGTGGTGCTCCGGTGAGCTCACCTCCCCTCAGCTGCATCCAGAAAGCAAACACTGCATATCTTTTCAAAACATAGAAATCATAACCTTAGGGACCAACCAAACCTGCAAAAATTTCATACATTCATCTAACATTTTTTAATGTTACTTTCAATGTAGTACGTAACATAATGTTCCCATAATATATAGATACAGTGGGTATAGAAAAGAATCACCCCTCTTTAAAATAATCACATTTTGTTGCTTTGCAACCTGAAATGAAGACGGACGCAGCTTTTGTTTTATCCAGCTGTATACTCAGTGCAACTTATAACATCCAAGTGAAAGATATAACACCAACATGTCAGAAAAACAAAAAACAAAACAGAATCACTGCGTTGGAAAAAGGATCACCCCCTTGTGTCAGTATTTTGTTGAATCACCTTTTGCTTTAATTACAGCCTTAAGTCTGTTGGGATGTGTCTCTGTCTCTACTAACTTTGCACATCTAGACATTGCAATATTTTCCCACTCTTCTTTGCAGAACTGCTCAAGTTCAGTTACATTTTATGGTGAGCGTTTGTGGACAGTCTTCAAGTCATTCCACAGATTTTCAATGGGGTTTAAGTCTGGGCTCTGACTAGGCCATGCAAGGACATTCACCTTTTTCTCCTTAAACCACTGCTTTAGGAATGCGGTTATTTGGATGGCGTGTGCCCCTGGTGGTTGTACTGACACGATGCTATGGCCTTAGATGTGACAGCTTTTAATCTATTTTGACAGTTAAATGATCCAGCTCTGTTACAAATGCTGCACAACTTTTTAAGGATCTTTCAAAAGTTTTTACTTTACTTTTGCAAGTAATTTATTTTACACAAACAAGCTTATATTGAAATGTTTTTGTGTGCATGTGCTGAACACTAGCCCAAGTTAGTTACTAAAGAAATGCAATTTCTCCTCCACATGTTAGCTAAGTTAGCTAGCTACTGAATATATTTAATTTAATACCAAGTCTTTTCTATCATGTCACGCTTGATAAATTTACTACTGCAATTTTTAGTAGCTGTTTATGGAAAACATGGAGATAACTTAACAGGTCATGGCTTCATGACAGTTGCAACCCGTTTGCTATATGTCCGTCTGGTCCTGTCAATCTGTCAGCATTAAGTAAGACTGGTGCTATACATTTATACAATCAGTTGCAGAATTTCCATTTTATGTTTTATTTTTTAAATTTTGTAATTTTACTGAAACCTACAATAGGCTGCTTAATGGCAGGTTCCATTGAGAAAACACTGTGTGACTATCATTATCACAAAATGTCAACTTATATTTTCAACAGTATCTTTATTTTTTGGGGCAATAATAGCTGTTTTATTATTTTATTTTATTTTATTTTTAACTAAAACTTTACTTGCAAGTTGTATTTCTATAGAAATGGGATTTAAAAAATAAATCTACCTTGAGAAATATTCTCTTCCATACAATAAATCCAAAATTGCATATGCAAAAAGGTTCCGTCTGAAATTGAATTGCTCATTGAAAGAATATCACTTCATCTATCTATCTATCTATCTATCTATCTACCTGTCTGTCTGTCTGTCTATCTATCTGATGCAATTCTCTAACTTTCTTGTCATTCAAAGGTATGAGCTCATTGATGCCTTGCAGCGCCTCAGCTGTGCGGCTCGGGCTCCTTGTATGGAGCGACACGCGTGATGATCGCGCGCAGATGGGTGGGGGGCGTGTGGAAACTGATCCGCCACAGCGCGCACAGTCTAAAACAGACTCTTTAACGTACTGGGAAACCGGAGAGACACGGAAACGCCCCACACTTACTCCCCCTGACAGTCTCCACATCTCTGGAGAAACATCTGAACTAATTCAACAGGGCAAAGGCAGAAGTAGCTGGAGAGACCAAAAGCATCTGTGTTTTGTTTGTGGAAGTAGCGGCGCTCATGGCGGCAGCTCGGCTGCTTTAGGAGGGTCACTTCAGTGAATTTTAGTGGGAGAAACTCGTCTGTTGGATGTCAGTCAGAAGAATAATGGATGCGCTCAGATTGTCCGCTGCTCTTCTTCTACTTCTGTCTTTATTCAACTGTGGAAGCGCTATACAGTTTCCCGACTCCCATCTGTAAGTAAACAGCACAAAACTTGCTATTATTGTTATGATTACTCAGTTGTTGCACTTATTGCAATCAATAATTTTTGTTGACACTAATTGCAAAACACTTTTAAGTTGTTGTATTCCAAGTGCGGAAGATAGACAAGTTTAAGGATGCGTTTACACAGGACGCGTTTCGCGTTCCGTGTTCCGTATGCGCTATTTTTGATACAGTTGTTGGTCTGTGTAGATACACATGCGTCAGACGGACGTCTTTGGCCGTTGCGTTGCGTTTCCGCGGCGGCGTGTTAAGTTAAAGGGATAGTTCATAAAAAACATAAATAAATAAATAAAAAAGTAACAAATCTGTAAAGTATAATCATTATTCATGTCGTTAGGTATTTTCATTATGGGACAAAAAAGACATTTTGGAGAATTTCTTTACTATAGAGTGACACTGAATGGTGACTGACGATATTAAGCCTCAAAATAGAATACAAAATGCCCATAGAAGTAGCATGAAAGTAGCCTAGTTCATATGACTCGTTTACTGCATTTCAAGGAGACAATGTTTGATGAACATATGAAATTTAATTAGCTTCTTTGTGAAAACGTTCTTTTTGGCATGTTCCGTGACATCCCATTAGTGAATTAATTATATATATATATATATATATACATTTAGTCATTTAGCAGACGCTTTTATCCAAAGCGACTTACAAATGAGGACAATAGAAGC